CCAGGCACTTTGTGTCTAAGCCTTTCCCTCTGTGTTGGTATCATTGTGAACTGTTGTGAGGACCAGGCACTTTGTGGCTCAGCCTTTCCCTCTGTGTTAGTATCACTGTGACCTATTGTGAGGACCAGGCACTTTGTGGCTCAGCCTTTATCTCAGTGTTAGTATCACTGTGACCTATTGTGAGGACCAGGCACTTTGTGGCTCAGCCTTTATCTCAGTGTTAGTATCACTGTGACCAGTTGTGAGGACCAGGCACTTTGTGGCTCAACCTTTATCTCTGTGTTAGTATCACTGTGACCTGTGGTGAGGACCAGGCACTTTGTGGCTCAGCCTTTCCCTCTGTGTTAGTATCACTGTGACCTATTGTGAGGACCAGGCACTTGATGGCTCGGCCTTTATCTCTGTGTGAGTATCACTGTGACCTGTTGTGAGGACCAGGCACTTTGTGGCTCGGCCTTTATCTCTGTGTTAGTATCACTGTGACCTGTTGTGAGGACCAGGCACTTGGTGGCTCAGCCTTTATCTCTGTGTTAGTATCACTGTGACCTGTTGTGAGGACCAGGCACTTTGTGGCTCGGCCTTTATCTCTGTGTTAGTATCACTGTGACCTGTTGTGAGGACCAGGCACTTTGTGGCTCAGCCTTTATCTCTGTGTTAGTATCACTGTGACCTGTTGTGAGGACCAGGCACTTTGTGGCTCAGCCTTTATCTCTGTGTTAGTATCACTGTGACCTGTTGTGAGGACCAGGCACTTTGTGTCTAAGCCTTTCCCTCTGTGTTAGTATCACTGTGAACTGTTGTGAGGACCAGGCACTTTGTGGCTCAGCCTTTCCCTCTGTGTTGGTATCACTGTGACCTGTTGTGAGGACCAGGCACTCTGTGGCTCAGCCTTTCCCTCTGTGTTAGTATCACTGTGAACTGTTGTGAGGACCAGGCACTTTGTGGCTCAGCCTTTCCCTCTGTGTTAGTATCACTGTGAACTGTTGTGAGGACCAGGCACTTTGTGGCTCAGCCTTTCCCTCTGTGTTAGTATCACTGTGACCTGTTTTGAGGACCAGGCACTTTGTGGCTCAGCCTTTCCCTCTGTGTTAGTATCACTGTGACCTGTTGTGAGGACCAGGCACTTTGTGGCTCAGTCTTTATCTGTGTTAGTATCACTGTGACCTGTTGTGAGGACCAGGCACTTTGTGGCTCAGCCTTTCCCTCTGTGTTAGTATCACTGTGACCTGTTGTGAGGACCAGGCACTTTGTGGCTCAGCCTTTCCCTCTGTGTTAGTATCACTGTGAACTGTTGTGAGGATCAGGCACTTTGTGGCTCAGCCTTTCCCCCTGTGTTAGTATCACTGTGAACTGGTGTGAGGACCAGGCACTTTGTGGCTCAGCCTTTATCTCTGTGTTAGTATCACTGTGACCTGTTGTGAGGACCAGGCACTTTGTGGCTCAGCCTTTCATACGCAGGATTATACTACTGCATTTAGATCGATCGGTGCTGGACACAGAATGGCCTGTACCGGAGTGGTCCCTCACCGCTGTTCCGTAATGGTCACACCATTACTATTTGTAACATAATATCATCACTTGTCATTATTTCTGAGTCATCTTCCAGCGTACCATCGCGGAAACAACCGTCATGTTTGTTTACATTTACTTACAAAACCCAAGTCTTTGATCCAAGATGAAATAAAGTGAATGCAATGCAAATATCCAATGTCCCGTATCTGCTGATAAAGTTTTTTGAACGATATAGTAATGCTTAAAGTGGCTTATTGTAAATTTCCGGTGCCACAATGTATCTGTTCCAGAAAGAACGCGGTATTTTGTGACACTGATACAGAAATATTAACTAACAAAATTAAATTACAGTCGTCTGATCCGATACCCTTATATTTCTGTTTTAACAGCTTCCGTCCTGCTTCCCGGCACTTCTCTCACAGGTTATATTTTACTCAAAACACCACTTAAGATTACTTGATTTTAATACTTCCGGTAATGATTCTCTCTCGTCACTTCCGGTGATTATATTGTTTTATTGACTTGATGTCTTGATGTAGTAATATATATCATCATTAGTCACCATAGCAATTTAAAGACAATAATGAATATCCATTAATCTGTCTACATTCGGAACTCGTCTCTCGTGAGAGATGTTAAACCCGTAGTATACATTAATTTTTAGACAAGTAATTCAGGATTGGATAGAAACATAAAAGGACTCTGTGTTTACGCTCTGGTCAGACTAATCAGTCGTAAATTTGGTTGTACTAGCGACATTAAACCAGTTACACACGATACCACGTGATGACATATCCATTTGATAGAAATCTCATTCAAAATCCACGTAAATATCTACAACGACGTAACTATCAGTACATTTAGTTCATTCAGGTCTCAAGAGGGGAAGATACAAATAGTTACATCGAAACAAACAGGATTTCTTTCATTTTTATATGGACAGAGAATGGTCAGTGTAAGTCAGACCTTTATCACACAGAGACTGGTCAGTGTTAATCAGACCTTTATCACACAGAGACTGGTCAGTGTTAGTCAAACCTTCAGTGTAAGTCAGACCTTTATCACACAGAGACTGGTCAGTGTTAGTCAGACCTTTATCACACAGAGACTGGTCAGTGTTAGTCAGACCTTTATCACACAGAGAATGGTCAGTGTTAGTCAGACCTTTATCACACAGACTGGTCAGTGTTAGTCAGGCCTTTATCACACAGAGAATGGTCAGTGTTAATCAGACCTTTATCACACAGAGACTGGTCAGTGTTAGTCAGACCTTTATCACACAGAGACTGGTCAGTGTTAATCAGACCTAGATCACACAGAGAATGGACAGTGTTAGTCAGACCTTTATCACACAGAGACTGGTCAGTGTTAGTCAGACCTTTATCACACAGAGACTGGTCAGTGTTAGTCAGACCTATATCACACAGAGACTGGTCAGTGTCAGACCTTTATCACATCATAGAGACTGGTCAGTGTTAGTCAGACCTATATCACACAGAGACTGGTCAGTGTCAGACCTTTATCACATAGAGACTGGTCAGTGTTAGTCAGACCTTTAGCACACAGAGACTGGTCAGTGTTAGTCAGACCTTTATCACACAGAGACTGGTCAGTGTTAGTCAAACCTATATCACACTGACACTGGTCAGTGTTAGTCAGACCTATATCACACAGAGACTGGTCAGTGTTAGTCAGACCTATATCACACACACAGAGACTGGTCAGTGTTAGTCAGACCTTTATCACACAGAGACTGGTCAGTGTTAGTCAGACCTTTATCACACAGAGACTGGTCAGTGTTAGTCAGACCTTTATCACACAGAGACTGGTCAGTGTTAGTCAGACCTTTATCACACAGAGACTGGTCAGTGTTAGTCAGACCTATATCACACAGAGACTGGTCAGTGTTAGTCAGACCTATATCACACAGAGACTGGTCAGTGTTAGTCAGACCTAGATCACACAGAGACTGGTCAGTGTTAGTCAGACCTATATCACACAGAGACTGGTCAGTGTTAGTCAGACCTATATCACACAGAGACTGGTCAGTGTTAGTCAGACCTATATCACACAGAGACTGGTCAGTGTTAGTCAGACCTTTATCACACAGAGACTGGTCAGTGTTAGTCAGACCTATATCACACAGAGACTGGTCAGTGTTAGACAGACCTATATCACACAGAGACTGGTCAGTGTTAGTCAGACCTATATCACACAGAGACTGGTCAGTGTTAGTCAGACCTAGATCACACAGAGACTGGTCAGTGTTAGTCAGACCTTTATCACACAGAGACTGGTCAGTGTTAGTCAGACCTATATCACACAGAGACTGGTCAGTGTTAGTCAGACCTATATCACACAGAGACTGGTCAGTGTTAGTCAGACCTATATCACACAGAGACTGGTCATTGTTAGTCAGACCTATATCACACAGAGACTGGTCAGTGTTAGTCAGACCTATATCACACAGAGACTGGTCAGTGTTAGTCAGACCTATATCACACAGAGACTGGTCAGTGTTAGTCAGACCTTTATCACACAGAGACTGGTCAGTGTTAGTCAGACCTTTATCACACAGAGAATGGTCAGTTTTAGTCAGACCTAGATCACACAGAGAATGGTCAGTGTTAGTCAGACCTATATCACACAGAGAATGGTCAGTGTTAGTCAGACCTATATCACACAGAGACTGGTCAGTGTTAGTCAGACCTAGATCAGTCATATAGATACTGGGCCGTTTTGGCCAAACCTTTTTTATCTCTTGGAAAGAGAATGGTCATTGTTATCCATTTCCGTGTTTTGAGATCGAAGAGGGGATTATCAAATATGTTAAATCTGTTCTGAACAAGTTGAACTGAAATGTTCAACAATAACATTAATTGCAATTTCTCGGTGACACAATATTTACTATGAATGACAACAGCCATGACAGATTCCTTCCCTGAAACGTATGATATCTTCAGCAAATCTCGCAGTGATATCTAATGTATAGTTGTTGGTATATACATTCACGAGTTCTACTATGGACAAATAAACCCAACGAGATCATCTTTAATCAGTTGGAGACGGAACAGTGTGCCGACCGATAAAACATTGATACACATCAATCGATTCACCGACCAACCACCCCACATACAATACTGACGACCAGCACGAGGCCTCTCCATCACGCGACTGGCTTACAAATTACGATTTTCAGCCTTTAGCCGATTTTTTATCGAACACATGGTATTTAGATATTTCCATCAGGTCGAGATAAAAACAATGCAATTATTATGTGCAATATTGTATTGTGGAATCACTTTCTGATTAAAACTTAAAACAAAATCCATCTCACGGGTTTTAGTCATAATTTTAATCCGCCCCTATAAAGCTATAAATAGCCCAAAAACAGATCTAGAATACTTGGTTTTAATTACCAAATAATTGTTATCATGTTTTTTTTTCATTTCAGGCTAACGTGACGGCGGACAGCGTAGTGTGTAGCGATGCCCGCGGTACCAGCGAATGTGTCTGAATGTGTTCAGGCACTTCTTGAGCAGCTACTGTCACAACAGACCCCATCACCCTGTAGTGCCAACGCTACCTCCGCGCCTAGTGAACGCTCTGAGTCTCGAGCTCTGCTGTATATAGTTGTAACGCTTCTGTTTTATTCTGGAGGAATCATTATCGGTATTATCACCTATCTTAAGCGTGAAAGGAGAGAAATAGAAGAAGACAGAGAATTTGATGAATTTATCAACACTTATATTGAACCGGAAACCCGGACAACATTCCACAAGGTTCAGCAAGTCATTGCAAGACTTAAATACCTACAGGAGGAAAAAGTAAGGAAAATGGGAAGTAAGGGAACAGATGTGAAATCTATATCAAACGACAACGAGGAGAGAAAGGATAACGTCGATAGAAAGGATTGTGTAGATAATTCTCTTATCAAGACCGCCAACTCGTGGAACGAGACAGAGACTTCCAGGCTTGATAACACAATTTGTGAGGACGATGAGCCACTTTCATCTATCGTTGCTAAACTCATCGACCCAGATAAACGCCGATCGTTCGACGAAGATTCGGACATGGAGGCAGACGATCGCGAAGGAGGTCTCACAAAGACTTCCTCCATGCAGTCTATCAAGGATTACACCGAGGAACCAGGAAGGAGTGCTCGCTCATCTTTTATAGACGACGACAACGAAATGGTGGATGACGACTCATCAACATTGATCAGCGATCAAAGACTTGGGAACAAGGAGGATTTACATCATTGTAAAACTGTCAACAAAGGTTGTATAGTGACGAATGTGTAGTAGTGTTGTGTCCCCATTCTCCCATGGGCTGTAAACCCCTTATCGTAATATGCAAAGCACATCAAAGTCAGCAACCCTACCACGTGTACCAGGGTAGGCTCACACATCCAAATCATACCTATCTCACTAACGGTAACTCACTTGTACCCAGGAGTAACTTCTGAGAAACATGCCCTTTTAATCATTTACTACATCCTCATAACATGATGGGACAATTGCTAGCGTGAAATCAAATACCGATACAAATATTCATGTATTTTTGAGGAACTACCGCAAGTACAAGGCTTTGTGACTGACAACATCGGCCTTTACAACAGCGCCCCCTTTTTGGGGTTTCATCCTTGAGTGTATTATTCGAGGATACTGTAAGGACACCTTTTGTACGCCGAGCCGTTCGAGGGACCACCGAAAACTGTTACGTGGCTGTTAGTATATGTGACTTTTATGGTAAGAGTGTCGTGGTATATGTCTACAATGATATTACATTAGAAAAAAACGTTTGTATTGATTTACACAGATTTTCCGTGGTTTCTTTTTCTAGATGGTTATTGATATAAATTTTGATTAAAATTGTGATTGAACTTGGAATTGTGAAGTTTTTCTGCTGACACACCCTAGCTACATACCCTACAGTTATAATAGGCTTGGGTATTTAAATTGCACATGTAAAGTAGATATCTATGTAACACATTGCTTCTGTTGCCGACTTCAGTCTGTTCAGTTTTTTTAAGGTTTGCGAAATAAAGCGTATAATTTGTTCAAAACATTGTCAAGGTTTCGAAAACGAAATCTATTATTCACGGTTATTAGATAATTAGAACAGCAATTTGAGCCCCAAATGTTTTGGATGACGTCATATTCAGTGCTGATAACAGCATGTTTCCATGGTAATGCTGAAAACGATGATTGTGTCTCGGAAGTAGATTGGATCCTGTTACTGGCAAATTAGCAGTAGACGCCCCGATACCTAGATTCCCAGGGTAGACCTAAATCACTGATCTTATGGAACATGGAGCAATATTAGACATGTTAGTACTTCATTATTTTCCCATTTTTCATTGACTCAGCAGCATTTTAACAGAGAACATGTTAAAGCTCGCGTTCCTAGATATTATATATGTTGCGGTACGTCTTTGGCAGATCAGTAGTCAAGCGTTTTTTTACGTTGTAATAAACATTAAGAATTTAATTGTTTCAGATTGTCATTAATACATGCAATTAATTTCAAATAATTATTTTAGTTGTGAAAAAGGAGAACTAGGTCAACGCAAGAATGCAGTTTGGTTCAATAAACGTGAGATAAATTAGGTCAACGTGTGTCTGCAGGTCAGCTCTGTAAAATTGAATTAACTAGGTCAACGCCTGTCTGCATTTTAGCTATATCATCATTAGATTAACTAGGTCAACTGGTATGTACATTTCTACCTCCATGAACATTGAATAAAGCAGGTCAACGATCTAAACACGCTGGGTAACCTCGTTCAGCAGGTGTTCATTTGTTCTGTGAATTACAGAATTTAATTAATTTATAAATGTTGGATATGATTATATATGATTCAAAATAATTAAACGTTTAACAGAGGTAATTAGTAATATTTAGAGTCCAGCTGTATCTGACTACAGCTAAATTAACATTATTCTGGTGTATGTGACAACTAAATCAAAATTATTCTGGTGTATGTGACCATAGATTAATTAACATTATCCTGGTGTATGTGACAGCTAAATTAACATTATCCTGATGTGTGTGACCATAGCTAAATTAACATTATCCTGGTGTATGTGACAGCTAAGTTAACATCATCCTGGTGTATGTGACAGCTAAATTAACATTATCCTGATGTGTGTGACCATAGCTAAATTAACATTATCCAGGTGTATGTGACCATAGCTAAATTAACATTATCCTGGTGTATGTGACCATAGCTACATTAACATTATCCTGGTGTATGTGACTATAGCTAAATTAACATTATTCTGGTGTATGTGACCATAGCTAAATTAACATTATCCTGGTGTGTGTGACAGCTAAATTAACATTATCCTGGTGTATGTGACAGCTCAATCAACATTATCCTGGTGTATGTGACCATAGCTAAATTAACATTATCCTGGTGTGTGTGACAGCTAAATCAACATTATCATGGTCTATGTGACAGCTCAATCAACATTATCCTGGTGTATGTGACCATAGCTAAATTAACATTATCCTGGTGTGTGTGACCATAGCTAAATTGACATTATCCTGGTGTGTGTGACAGCTAAATTAACATTATCCTGGTGTGTGACAACTAAATTAACATTATCCTGGTGTATGTGACCATAACTTAATTAACACTATACTGGTGTGTGTGACAGCTAAATTAACATTATCCTGGTGTTTGTGACAGCTAAATTAACATTATCATGGTGTATGTGACAGCTAAATTAACATTATCCTGGTGTATGTGACCATAGCTAAATTAACATTATCCTGGTGTATGTTACAGCTAAATTAACATTATCCTGGTGTATGTGACCATAATTAAATTAACATTATCTTAGTGTATGTGACAACTGAATTAGCATTATCCTGGTGTATGTCACCATAGTCGTGTATGTCACCATAGCTAAATCAACATTATCCTGGTGTATGTGACAGCTAAATAAACATTATTTTGGTGTGTGTGACCATAGCTAAATTAGCATTATCTTGGTGTATGTGACCATAGCTAAGTTAACATTATCCTGGTGTGTGTGACCATAGCTAAATTAACATTATCCTGGTGTATGTGACCATAGCTAAATTAACATTATCCTGGTGTATGTGACAGCTACATTAACAATATCCTGGTCTATGTGACAGCTAAATTAACATTATCCTGGTGTATGTGACAGCTAAATTAACATTATCCTGGTGTATGTGACAGCTAAATTAACATTATCCTTGTGTATGTGACAGCTAAATTTACATTATCCTGGTGTATGTGACAGCTAAATTAACATTATCCTGGTGTGTGTGTGTCAGCTAAATTAACATTATCCTGGTGTATGTGACCATAGCTAAATTAACATTATCCTGGTGTATGTGACCATAGCTAAATTAACATTATCCTGGTGTATGTGACCATAGCTAAATTAACATTATCCTGGTGTATGTGACCATAGCTAAATTAACATTATCCTGGTGTATGTGACAGCTAAATTAACATTATCCTGGTGTATGTGACCATAGCTAAATTAACATTATCCTGGTGTATGTGACAGCTAAATTAACATTATCCTGGTGTATGTGACAGCTAAATTAACAATATCCTGGTGTGTGTGTGTCAGCTAAATTAACATTATCCTGGTGTATGTGACCATAGCTAAATTAACATTATCCTGGTGTATGTGACCATAGCTAAAATAGCATTATCCTGGTGTATGTGACCATAGCTAAATTAACATTATCCTGGTGTATGTGACCATAGCTAATTTAACATTATCCTGGTGTACGTGACCATAGCAAGATTAACGTTATCCTGGTGTATGTTACAGCTAAATTAACATTATCCTGGTGTATGTGACCATAGCTAAATTAACATTATCCTGGTGTATGTGATCATAGCTAAATTAACATTATCCTGGTGTATGTGACCATAGCTAAATTAACATTATCCTGGTGTATGTGACCATAGCTAATTTAACATTATCCTGGTGTATGTGACCATAGCAAGATTAACGTTATCATGGTGTATGTTACAGCTTAATTAACATTATCCTGGTGTATGTGACCATAGCTACATTAACATTATCCTGGTGTATGTGACAGCTAAATTATCATTATCCTGGTGTATGTGACAGCTAAATTAACATTATCCTGGTGTGTATGACAGCTACGATAACATTATCCTGGTGTATGTGACAGCTAAATTAACATTATCCTGGTGTGTATGACAGCTACGATAACATTATCCTGGTGTATGTGACAGCTAAATTAACATTATCCTGGTCAATGTGACAGCTAAATTAACATTATCCTGGTGTATGTGACCATAGCTAAATTAACATTATCCTGGTCAATGTGACAGATAAATTAACATTATCCTGGTGTATGTGACAGCTACATTAACAATATCCTGGTCTATGTGAAAGCTATATTAACATTATCCTGGTGTATGTGACAGCTAAATTAACATTATCCTGGTGTATATGACAGCTAAATTAACATTATCCAGGTGTATGTGACCATAGCTAAATTAACATTATCCTGGTGTATGTGACAGCTAAATTAACATTATCCTGGTGTATGTGACAGCTAAATTAACATTATACTGGTGTATGTGACCATAGCTAAATTAACATTATCCTGGTGTATGTGACCATAGCTAAATTAACATTATCCTGGTGTATATGACAGCTAAATTAACATTATCCTGGTGTGTCTGACAGCTAAATTAACATTATTTTGGTGTGTGTGACCATAGCTAAATTAGCATTATCTTGGTGTATGTGACCATAGCTAAATTAACATTTTCCTGGTGTTTGTGACTATTGCTAAATTAACATTATCCTGGTTGGTGTGATAGCTAAATTAACATTATCCTGGTGTGTGTGACAGCTAAATTAACATTATCCTAGTGTGTGTGTCCCTAGCTAAATTAACATTATCCTGGTGTATATGACCATAGCTAAAATAACATTATCCTGGTGTATGTGACCATAGCTAAATTAACATTATCCAGATGTGTGTGATAGCTAAATTCACATTATCCTGGTGTGTATGACAGCTACGATAACATTATCCTGGTGTATGTGACAGCTAAATTAACATTATCCTGGTGTGTATGACAGCTACGATAACATTATCCTGGTGTATGTGACAGCTAAATTAACATTATCCTGGTCAATGTGACAGCTAAATTAACATTATCCTGGTGTATGTGACAGCTACATTAACATTATCCTGGTGTATGTAACCATAGCTAAATTAACATTATCCAGGTGTATGTGACCATAGCTAAATTAACATTATCCTGGTGTATATGACAGCTAAATTAACATTATCCTGGTGTATGTGACCATAGCTAAATTAACATTATCCTGGTGTATGTGACCATAGCTAAATTAACATTATCCTGGTGTATGTGACCATAGCTAAATTAACATTATCCTTTTGTGTGTGACAGCTAAATTAACATTATCCTGGTGTATATGACAGCTAAATTAACATTATCCTGGTGTATGTGACCATAGCTAAATTAACATTATCCTGGTGTATGTGACCATAGCTAAATTAACATTATCCTGGTGTGTGTGACAGCTAAATTAACATTATCCTGGTGTATGTGACCATAGCTAAATTAACATTATCCTGGTGTATGTGACAGCTAAATTAACATTATCCTGGTGTATATGACCATAGCTAAATTAACATTATCCTGGTGTATGTGACCATAGCTAAATTAACATTATCCTGGTGTGTGT